TTTAGTATTATTCATGGTTCTGTTTTTGCATCCCCTGTGTCCTTGTTCCTTGGATAGTCTGTCATGTCTCTCGTGCATGTTAAGTTCTGTCTCCGTGTTTATTAATTTGTTCCCCTGTCGTGTCTCACGCGCCGTCTTGCTCCTCCTGTGTTCCTTGTCTTCAGTCAGGTTTTATTTTGATAGTCCGTTGTCCTGTGTTCAGTGTATTCAGTTTTGATTCCTCTCTGTCTCCTCATGTCTGATTAGTCCCAGCTGTGTTCCCACCTGTTTCCCATCCCGTGGTTATCCTGGGTGTGTGTATTTAAGTCTTCAGTTTTGCCCTGTTTATTCTTGTGTTCTCCACCTTGGGTGTGTTTTTCTCATGTGTTTTCCTTGTTCCCTAGTTATGTCTAGTTGTGAGTTTCCAGTGAGTTGCCAGTTTCTTAGTACTAGTTTATCTTTTGTTTCTTTTCGTTTTTCTTTGTACTTTGATTTTTAGTTCGCTTTCTCAGCTAAATAAAAAAAAAGTCCGTTTTTGAATAATTTTGCTTCGGTCCTACCGTTGCCTGCCACAGAGCCCACCATGACACTTTCATATCTCAATCGCCTTGAAGGATAACTAAATACTTTTGACTATTATAAGTATCAATAACAATACTATACTCACCAAATGTAACGTACGGTTACATTGTAGCCTTGGTTCTCTGAGTGAGAGACTGATCTCTCCACTCCATTACATATTCCATATGTATGGGGTATGATATATAGAAGTATGGATACTTCTTGAAGACACCCCGGCTAGCCGGGCCACGCCCCACAGATTACATGTAAAGCAAGCTGTGCAGGCGTGAAACCAGTGATAGTTTGATAAGATAAGATAAGATAACCTTTATTACTCCCACACGTGGGAAATTTGTCAGAATGCTTCTCCGAGCGGCCTACAAAAATAGAAGAATCTGAAGAAAGCGTGTTGCTAGGACTGATCGGAGGCAAATTTAATTTCAAAAGACTACCCAACGGAAGCCTTGATAAAAGTGTGATTTTGTGCAAACTGTGCAAAAAGGAGTTTGCATACCACGAAAGCACCTCAACCTTTCCATCTAAATGCAAAACATGTTGCAGCGAGCACAGAAACTGTGGGAGCTGTTACCACTAGCAGTCCCAGTTCGAGTACCAGCAAAAGGTGTCAGCAGCCCAAACTTGAAAAAATGGATTGCTCTGGACTGTAGACCACTATCAGTGTAGTAGATAGGGGGTTAGAAAATGTGCTACAGTTAGCATCAGGTCATCCAACTTTCCAACTGCCATGGCGACAGACTATTCAAGTAAAATTCAACAGCTTTATGACACTGAACAGCAACCAAAATTAGATGCATTACAAAAAACAGACTTTGTGGCTCTCAGTGGGGATCACTGGACTCCCCCTCAATCTGTACACTCCTTGTCATGCACTAAGATCATCAGGTTAATTACTCCTGGCCCAAACTAAGTTTAGACTGAAGACCAGAGGCGATCGTGCCTTTGCTTCAGCTGCACCTAACCGTTGAAATAGCCTTCCTGCTTCTATTCGTGCCACAGACTCTATCCAATCCTTTAAATCAAGATTGAAAGCATACTTATTTAACCTGGCTTTCCTGACCAGTTAATACCCTTTTAAACTTTTTATTAAATGTAATATTTTATTATTAATTTTACTGCTGTTTTTATCTTTTTAGTAGATATTTTGTATTCACGATCTGACCTTCCTCCTGTATTGAGGTTTGATACCTATTCTACTTACCTCTTCCGGTCTATTAGTGCCTCCATTCTGTCTGTGCTAGTGCCCGATCTGTACTCTGTTATTGACTTATGTTGTTTCTCCGTATTATTGTGATGCACTTTGGTGTGCCTTCGGGTTTTAAAATGTGCTATATAAATAAAACTATATTGGATTGGATTGGATTCTGTTAGTAATTCTAATTATCTCGGACTCACTGCACATATTCTTGATGTCACTGATGGGACATGGAATCTACAGTCTTTTGCCCTGACTGTGCAGAAGACAAACATCAGAAACATGCCAAAAACTGCGCTGAGTAGTTTCTCTCTTTGGTAGAAGAATGGGGAATTCAACAAAAGGTAACCACAATTGGGACAGACAGTGCACGAACCATGGTGGCTGCAGCACCTCCCATTCCATCACATGCCTTGTGTTGCTCACATATTGCAAACAACCCTCACTGTTAGCCCTGCTGATAGTGGTTTTAGTGATGCATTAGCAAAATGTTGCAAGATAATGGGTCACTTTGTATCAGCAGGGCTGTGTTTAGAGGAATTACACCAGGAGGAAACAAGACTTGGGCAACAGAAAGAACCACTCATACAACATGTTTCCACAGGGTGGAATTAAATGCTGGATCTACTAAAGAATCAAGAGGCTGTTTTTGCTGCTTTAGACAAACAAAAGCACAAGCTAGTCATTTTAACTCCATCAGAGCTGGTAAAACTCCAAAAGCTGGTGACTATCCTTGAGCCATGCAGGTATATAAAACTATTTTTTAACTTATTGTTACTGTTTCTTCAAAAAGCTCTATAGTTGACAGTTATTGTGTAGATTAATAAATACTTTCTTAAACTGTCTACTACAGGTTTGTGACTCAGCTTCTTGGAGGTGAGACATATGTCTCATGTTCAATTGTTTTAACTTCTTTCTGCCACCTGCATCACAACATGGAGGTCTCTGATGATGACTCGAACTACATGGTGACTGCCTTCACACAGGACCTATCCCAACGTGTAGCTACACTTAACCATCAGTGGCTCAAGACAGCTACTCTGCTTGACCCATACTTTAAGAATTTAAAGTGTCTTGCAAGGGGAGAGCGAGAAGAGGTTTGGACCAGCCTTGAGGCCCTGTTGCAAGAACACTGTAAAGATGCCACCACAAAGGCACCAGTAAAGACAAAGAGCCTCCTCCTGTCTTCATTGTCTTCAGATTCTGATTCAGATGAGGAAGCCTTGTGTAACAGGGACCCTGAGTTTGTACAGAGCAGAACCCACCATCAGCGAGCCAACTGCAGTTGTGGTCCAGTCGAGCAGGCACCCACCCACAACTGTCTGTCCTGGCCCGCAAGTATTTGATTAGTCCTGCCACTTCTGTCCCATGTGCCATACTGTTATCACTTGCAGGTCACATAGTAACAAAAAAAGAGAGCTGCCTTGAGCTCTGAAAATGTGAACAGGCTAGTTTGTCCAAGTAACTGGCTGAAAGAGATGGACAATAAATAAGCATGGAGGTATTGTGAGTCCAATGGGTTTGTTATTTTTTGCACTAAAATGTTCCATGATCACATTGTTTTAGCCTAATGTACAAAATAATTTTGGCTAAGGTTACTCAGAGTTTAAAGGTGAAGCTGGTCAAATTACCTTTTATCTTTCTGCCTTATTTTTCTAACAAACAACAAATAACAAATTATAATTTTTTATTTTTTTTGGGACAACCGGGACTTGGACAGGGGCCTGCCCGAGATCCCGGGATGCAAAGAAATGAACAGTTGGTCCGTTGGCCGAATCGGCCAGGTACATGTGATGTACAGCGCCAGAGTTCAAATCATTTTAGAGCCAGCAGATGCTGAGCTGCCTCTCGGTCCAAGCCTTCCATTGGAACTGACTGCAGCTTAACCGACTGGGAGAGGTGGAAGTCCATTTTCCAGTCATGGATTGGCCTTCCCAGAACACAGTTTTGTTATTGTACTTCGGTACCAACCACAGTTTGTCAATGACAAACATCATGTTAGAGAAAAAAGGTGTTTATAAGCACATAAGGCATCTGAGGTTGCAGGTTGATGATTGATTTTATAATTGTAACATCAGATCTGCAGCCATGGCTGGACTGTCCCTTAGAGAGAGGGTGAGGAGCTTGGTCATACGAGAGGGACTCGGAGTAGAGCCGCTGCTCCTCCATATCAAAAGGAGCCAAGATGAGGTATTTTGGGCATCTGACTAAGATAGACGCCTCATAGGTGAGGTATTCTGAGCATGTCCGGTAGGGGGCCCCTGGGGGAAACCAGAATTTGCACGAGAGAGATTATATCTCATAGCTGGCTTGGGAACTTCTTGGTGTCCCCGTAGATGAGCAGGAGAAGGTAGCTGGGGTGAGGGAAGTCTGGGCTTCTCTGCTTAGACTGCTTCCCCCCACCATCCAGATAAGCAGCAGAAAATGGATGGAGACACACACACACAAACAGCTAAAACAAAACTCAACCCTAACCTTGGTGACCTGATGGTCGTTAGTAAATTAATATCCAATTTACACATCTATGTAATGACTTTCATCATTTGGGTTAAGGTGTAGCTGTCTTAATTGTGCATTGACTTTGGTGATATACATGGATATGATGGAAATCAAGGCCAAAGCTAGTTGAAGGCTATGTCTTTTTTATCCTGTTATTTATTATCACAACAATATGCATAATAAGAACACTTCAAGCTCAGATATTTTTAGGTCATACACATATACACAGCCACACACACAGCCAAGAGTTTCTTACAGGTCTTTCTTTCGAGTAAAGGACTCCACAGCAGTGTGAACACTGGATTGAAGGGAAGATTGGTGAAAGTTGAGTTCAGACATACAAATATCATCACTGAACCTGAGAGGAGCTACCTCAGTGAGGGCAAATTACCTTTCAGTGTCGCTGTCATCACTCGATTCTACTTCCTCTAGGGCAGCCTGAAGATCAACGATGCGCCGGATGGACGTCTCCAGGTCCGCCTGTAATGCCTGTCTGACAGTGCTGAGCTCTTCAACCTTCATTTCCTGTACAAAAAAGAGGAAGATGACAGATTCAGGGATGAATAAGATGGTCATCTTTTAACAGACCTGTTTGCTGTGCCCCAGCACACATCAGCAGTATTTATTAGCAAATTGTTACATATGCAAGCTGACATCCAGAGAAAAAAAGTGATTTCTTAAATCGTTCCATCATTTTCTTACTGACTCTCTCTCATATCCTGTCACATATGTATGCACCTACACACAACCAAAAGCTTTCAGGATTTTGCCTTTGTTGGCTTTGAGATGGGTGTGGGAGCCACAGCTGTCATAGAAACACATAAGCATGTACAAGTGTGTGTATGTGTGCACCCCCATAACCTTGAAGAGACAATGAGGATTAATCATAGTCAGAGAGAGGAAGCAGGATGAGGGAGCGATGACGTTGGGTATGGTGGTGAAGAAGTAGGAGGAAGAGAGAGAGAGTTTGTGTGTATGTATGTGTGTCTGTCTGTGTACATGCACATGTGTGTGTGCCTGTGTGCATCCTGTTGTGTGTATGATTAAATCCATTTATATGGGGCTGTGTCTCAGTCTCCATTGCTGGTTGGTAGGTTGTTTAAGGGCATTCTTGTGTCTGTCTCTGTGTGTGTGTGAGTGTGTTGCTTTGTGCGAATAACTTAATTCCTGGAGCTCCTTCTCATTTTCTTGGCTCAGCTCAGAGGTCACAAAGAAGTGTGCAGTTAGTGAGAACAAGAACATGACTGAATGTGAAACTGTAAGTAGCAGCTTTAAAGTCTGCTCGGCTGCTCAGATCTTCATCTAACTCACTTGTGCATTCACACTAGAGTAAAAATAGGAAAGCTCCTCCCTCCCTTTTTTCGCCCCAAGTAAAGCTTTTATTAGTTCTTTAACATTTTTAGTTTTTTCAGTCATCTGTGACACCGACTCCGCCGTGACATCCGTCATAGTTGAGGGTCCATTTGCTTGTCATTGCTCCTCGGAGTTGCTGAGTGGCAAGAGTTTTCCTATGGGTGACTGAGGATGAAATGTGAAATTGTGAAATTTCCAGTGCCATTACTACAAACGAATGTCTTCCTAGTTCCTTTCTCTCTGTTTGAGGCATTGGATGATCCCTCTCATTTGCAATGAATGGGTCGCTTATTAAGTTTGCCTTAGTTTAGAGATGAAGACATCAGCTCTAATTTTAATACTTTGTGCACTGTCGCTACCAAGTTCTCCAATTTTGCCATCATTTTCTCCACTTTTGTTTTTCCAGCTGGACTTTGTGGAGCTGCTATGTTGTTTGTTTCTGCGAAGGCTTCAGTTTTCAGACCTGGAGGCTATTTCTGTCATTGTCCTGAGTCTATGACCCAGCATTTGAGTCTCTGTTAGATTTAAGAGATATTTATGTTTAAGCTTGAGTTTAGTACTTCCTAGTGCCTCTGAGTTTTATTATCTATATTTTTGGTTCTTGGTTACTGTTTGATTTCTTTCATGTACTAGTGTTGTTCCTGTGTCTTGCTGTCTGAGTCTCCAGTGCCAGTCAGTCTTGTCTCCATGTTTGTTTACCTTTTTGTCTACATTCAGCTCGTATGTCTCAGTCCTGGTCTAGCATTAGGTACTTCCCGTCTTATTTTGAAAGTCCCTCATCTCATGAGCATTATGTTCAGTCCCCCCCCATCGTTATTTGATTGTTGACTGATTTGTTCATGCTGTGTTCCCCAGCTGTCTCTACTCAATTAATCACCCTCCTGTTTATATATATTGTGTCAGTCTCCCTTTGTCTATTGTCAGAATATCAGTCACCTTTCATTTGTAGTTCCAGTGTTTTTTTGCCCTAGTTTATATACTATATTAGTGTTTCTAATTTCCTCAGGTACTTTACTTTTCACCATAATGTATTTTGCTCATCAGCCTAATTAAACAGTTTGCCTTTTGTTTACCACAATCCACATCTGTGTGTCTTCATTTGGGTCCTCATGCTCCTATTCACTACACAAGATAATGTCCCCCTTTCATACAGACAGTGAAAAAGCTATTGAGAAATCACCAGCCTTTGACGTGATAATCATTCAGCCTTTTGAACAGACTAATTCTGTTGCTTGCTTTATTATTTTCTTCAGTGGTTTGAGGGTCTGATCCTATCTAAGCTGTCTAAGAACTCTGAATCAAGAAAATGCAAATCGAATCCCAAGTTGTTACATTATTTCAAGCCCACAGAGCCCAAAAGCCTGAGAACAAAGTTCAATGTAATCAACAAGCTCTGATTACATTGATTTAATTAATTTGATGTGTCCATAACCTAAAATATATTTTTGTTTGTTTGCTTTGGTTCCTTTTTCGGTTCAGTTTTTCTTCCCACCTCTGTATCTAGATGTGGACAGTAACAAAGTACAAATACCTTGTTACTGTACTTAAGTACAATTTTTAGGTATCTTTACTTTCCTTGAGTAGTTATTTTTTGTGTACTTTTTACTTTTACTCCCTACATTTTTAAACAAATATCTGTACTTTCTACTTCTTACATTTTCAAAACAGGCTCATTAGTTCTGGTTAAATGCATTTGGGTTGAATTATTATTTCGTCACTGTGAGCCTTCAAACATCAAACCCATGTAAGCTCAAACAGTAACACAGGAAAGGGATTCCTGTTTGTTTATTAATCACCAGGATGATGCATAAAAAGAGATTACATGTGCCAAAGGGGTTAAAAGTGGGACAGTGTTTTGTTTTTTTTGTTTATTTACTGACACAACACTGGAATGACTGCAGGTTTCCGTAAGTTGTGGTTGCGGTACCTTGCCATCTAGCTCGCCCTACTGAAGAGAAGAGAGCATAAAGGGAGTGACTTTTTTTTAAGTGGCAGGTTAGTTTAAATAAAATGTTTCTATCTGTTCAACAAACATCAGCAAACACACAAACTGTGTGCAGTTTGTCATAGAGCGTGTTGCTAGCTAAAGATCCAGCTGCTTCAGAGCTAACTTCACTCAGAGATGGAGTGTACATTTGTACATGTGACATTATGTTTTTTTTATATTGCGAAATATGCTGCAAAACAAAATGAGGTAGACTAACTGCTATGTAAATGCTGCATAAGAATACTCTGGAGTTTAGTGCAGGATAAACAGGTTAGTTTGCTGTACTGTGATGGATTTAAAGTAAAGAACAGTGTGACTGGTGCACAGTGGCTGTGGTTTCATGGTCAGAGTGTAGCAGAGATAAGATGGGGCCTGATTGTTTAAGACCTTGTATGTTCAATGTACAAGCAGGATTTTGACTTCAATACTGAATTTAACAATGAAGGGAAGTCAACATAGAAGAAATATGCTCTCCCTTTCTAGTCCCTGTCAGTACTCTAGCTCGAGCATTTAGGATTAACTGAAGGCTTTTCGTGGAGTTTTTAGGACATCCTGATAATAATGAATTACTGTAGTCTAAAGTAGAAGCAATAAATGCATATTGAGTAACTCCAGTTAGTATTGCCCGGCTCTGTAGAATTCTGTTGTTTTCCAGCCTTGCTTTGGAGTAACCCTCGTCTCTGTGATTAGGTTTTTTGGATCTGCCCACATTGTGACCCCTGAAATAAGAAGCAGAAGGTTAGAGGCCATCAAGGTCTTTATGTCTTTAAGACAATCCTGCACTTTGGTGCATTGGTGTGTTTTATCTGGCTTCATGGATAAAGTTGTGTCATCTGCATAGCAATAAAAATGTATGTTATGTCTTCTAATGATACTGCCTAAGGGAAGCATGTATAATGTAAACAGAATTGGTCCTAGCACTGAACCCTGTGGAACTCCATAATTAACCTCAGT